TAAACAATTTCCTCCATTCATCCATCCTAATATACCTTGAAGTTTTACTTTTATTAATTCTATTATATTTGTGGTCCTGTTGCTTCTTTGTTTTACTCTCTCGCATAATTGCAAACACAAACTCATCTCCATGACGGCTGTAATCTTTGTTTTCCCCTCATCATATCACGTAGAGAGAATATTATATTCAATATTTTTTAAACATGCTAGGATTTCTATACCGCAAATAACGACAATACTGTGTGAAACAAGCTCGCGGCAATTTTCACTTGTATTATTATTATTACTACTACCCTAGCTGTTATCATTATTATTGTTATTTCCATTTTATGTACTGCATGTTTTTGACACTACCTCTATTGTAAATGTGGAAAATTTTCTGCGTGTGATTAATTTTATTTATAATTTGAGGAAATTAGATGCAATATTGTGTGATTAATGCTGAAAATTCCATTCTGTATCACAAGTACTGTTTTTGGAATAAAGTAAATCATTATTATTATCATTATTAATTTCTTGTTTCGCTTATTTCTCATCACATAAAGTATGCTCCGGACAAATAAAGTTTTGTAGAATTTTTTACTTATTCGTCCGAGCATAAAGTCCTCTATACTTGCTTCTAGTTCCCCTACACGATGACATGCAAGGAAAGAGATTTGTGTGGAGGGGATGTTCAGAGTCTGACAAGATAATATTTTCTGATCTCTTGCAGAAATCCAGGTGTCAATCTATAATAGTATTAACGAGATGGTTAAGCAACACCACACTAACCCACCATACTGACAGCTTTCAGTACGCACGCTGTATAAAAGAGTCTTTCCTCAGTAGCCAGGGAGGGATTAAGTAAGGGGGAACAGCAACAAAATGTTTGCAGAAAACAAGAATTAATGAACGATTATAGCAGAGACGGAATGATACCAGATAGTCTTAACTTCCCTACATAGAACGACAAGCGAAATATCTTTCCCGAAACCAACGTCATGTGGGAAGACCAAATACCAGGATCTGAGGAAATAAATACACAGTCCAAGTTATTTAACTTGGTTTCAACTTCAATGCCATCTATGATAGTGGAACCATTCGAACTAACCAGTTCACTTAAGTCGCACTTCTACCTTAAAGTGAAATTAACCACCTGACATCTGGACGTATTAAGCCTAAGACTATTCGGCGATGACCACTGACCAAGTTTCTGATAAATACTTACTCATTTTGGAATAGTCCAACTGAGAAGTAACCTCATGCATAGAAACAGTCAGGTCATCAACATACTTAACAAAATTGACCCCATCAGAATGAAACAAGTCTTGTAAGAAGAAGGGAAACAAAAAGTAGAGAGAGTAGTTCCCTGAGTTAGGAACACCAGTCAGAGTAAGTGAAGCAGGGGAGAACTTCCCAATATATGCTACACAGTGTACTGATTCTTATGAAGAGAATAGGAATGACACCCCTTGGTAATCCATCACTGTGATTGTTTCACAGCAATCTTGTTTAACAAAAGAGGCCTAGGTGGAGAGTCAAAGGCAGATGTGTAGTATAGGAAGGTAAACCGAAGAAATCGGTCACCTCTATCTAAACTAGAGAAAATATTTTTATTTTATTATTATTATATTTTTTATCGCCTGTAGACCTTCAAGTGTGATGGCATCTATCAACCCATTGCATGATACAGCCATCACCTATGCTATGTGCGTCGGTGGCACAGTGGTTAAGACTCTCTCCAATCATGCACATGGTCCGTAGTTTGATCCTCTGACGACGCACACCTGATATCTATGGTTGGCCTGCAAAATTTGGGCTACCAACATCACATGCTGAAAACTCCATACCTGTACCAAAAATACAGTAAGGAATCAAGCTGTAATCAAAAAATGTATACATAAATAAGTGTCTATAATGACATCATCTTGCTTCTGCTGAATTCACACATCTATAATGTCTAGAAAGTATAAAAATTAAACATAACAAATTTAGGATAACATATCTATCTCGTAGCAAATATAAATGCATTTTTACACATTCATAGTATTATCTATCATTATTAAGTTTTTTTATATTATGTCTAACACATTACATGGAAATAACGCTTCAGTGATTTTTTTTCGCAATCATAACAAATTGCCAACAGGAAGGAGTCTTGTAGTTCATTCAGTCAACCATATTCGCAGACAATTAAAGTCTGAATTACTAATTTAAGTGATAGAATTTTCTAAGTTTTATTGTAAACAACTCATATTTAAGAGTGCAAGTTCTCTTAAATACGGAAACCGTTAATTTTAATATTTGTTGTTAATTTACCAATGCTGATTATTGAACAAAATTGGGCAAATGAACCTGCTAGTTCAGTCTTTTTACTCTTGACGATACAATTTCGGCTATGTTAATCCGAAGGCATCAAGAAAGCATCTGTACTATAAGCAGATAGATCAAATGAGTCGGAGTATTTCTGCTCAATAAAAATCAGCCAGGCGATAATTACAAATAAAAAGTGATGTCAGTTTCAAAATAGGTGGCTGTCGTGACCTAGTGGTCTTGGGGGGTTATACTTTTGTGTAGAAGAGACAAGTACTGGGTTTGAGTCCCACTGCAAACATTATCACTTTCACTGAGGAAGTAGATGTATCCATCTGACTGGCCCTAAATATCCTGAAGTTCTCATCCTACATCCCTTGCAAGCCTCCAACTGCCAGGTTGAATCCTAGCAATCTGAATGTGACACAGGGGCTCGGAAACACATCTCTGCTACACTCAGTTATCTGCCAACACTTTCATCTGGTTTTAGGACTACATGAAAGATTCCATTTCGTCTTCATATGATCTTCTCCACACCACCCATGGACTCACGTCAAATTCTCAACTTCTCATTGGAGTTTCATTCAGATGTGTACTTTGTAAGGTCACTTGTAGGGTCCCTCGGTGTATCTCAGATATACCTCTACTTCGTCCTGGTTTCCTGACAAAATTCTTCATTGCTTGCCTGTCATCCTTCTTGTTCGTCCATTTAATCTTCAGTATTGAGTGAAGGGTGTAGGTATTGATGAACGTCTGTAGTGACCTGTTGGAAATTCTTCTGATGACGTGTATGCACAAGATTTTGAACCAGATATTCAATCAGTCATTGACTTTATACTGATGTTATAAATTGGGATCCTCTTCGTTGTATTCAGTGCTGCAGATCTCCGTATTGGTTTCAGGTTAATGAACCCTTTATTGGCTCAGACACTTTTGAGAAGAATATTTACCTTTGCCTAAGGTTAATTTTTAATTTGGTATCTTCGCTTTGAAGACAAAAAAATTTAGGTGAAAATAAATCAAGAATTAGCTTGTAAGGACTTGACCCATTTCATGACTGCCCACGGATTGTTAGCAGGTAGTGAATTATTTAGAAATCAAGGAGTACTGGAGATCTGTTTCACCCTACCTCGGGACTCATCTGCAGCATGCACCCATTTGTTTTTGAACAAAGGACCTTCTGTTTTCAGGGGAAGCTCATAGACTTTTCATCCACTAGTACCTGACTCAGTAACCAGCCCACAGATTCTAACTTCTGCCAGCTTGTGATTTTAGCACAGCCGCCAGCCATTATCATCGGCGAGTAATTTTCCTCACTCTCAACGGCGGGGACTCATCAAGTCACGACTTCACACTACAATTCCAACCAAATTCGTCTTGTAGCAGGTCACAAATTGGTAGAAATTAGAATTCGCCGTCTGGACACTGTGTCGAGCCCTATTTGCTGAATAGTCTAAAAGGTCACCATACAACCAGAAGGTCCTGGGTTCGAACCCGCTGTGGTGGATGTGTACTGCCGATGAGTCCCAAACTAGGAGAAAATAGTGGTTCGCTAAGCGATACCACTCTGTGGCCAAACTTGAAATCAAATCAATCAGCAGATTTTAAAACTCTATCAGGTTTCACTCTATGAATGTCTGTTATATGAGAATTTGAACATTACGACTGAAATAACAGAAATGCTAGCGCGTATCACATTACGTTTTGTGCATTTCCTGTAATAAGACAAGATAAGAAAGGCATATGGCATTCTTCTGAACCCTGAGTTGGTCTTAAATCATGAAAGAATGCTAAGAATCGCTTCCTTTTAAGCAAAACACGAACCAAGGTGCATAACTTGATACATGTATACTGATTCGACACTGCTTAAGTCAAATTTCCCTACTTTCGTCTGTAGAGAGGAAGATTTAAATCAAAGCTATGTGCATAATTCATCCTCACTCCCTCACAAATTTTCATCAGTAATTCTCGAATTCCGCCTTTTCTAATACTTGTAAGAATTAGGCGTCGGCTGGCGTCAACTTTACTCCAATATCTAACCTATCTCTTAGAGAGTTATAAAAGTATCATGACACGAGACGTTAAAGTGAATCATATCGCATCACTGAGCTACTGGTCATCTCTCTATTGATGTTTGAATGGAGGTTTTTCATGAATTATCAGAAATAACTTGTACAAATCCCAGCTTACATACTACAACTATTATCATTTCTATTCAAAGTAATTAAATTGTAGTCACTCTGTTGAACATGAGCGATAAGCGACCATTGTTATGATAAGTAAAACAAAATAAAAATAATTGTAGAACTATTATTTCCTTTTTGACTGACATTTTATGTATTGGGATTTCGGTAAACTTGAGTTTTTCAGGATCCAACATAAACGACACATGTAATTAAATAAATAAATAATTTTCTAAAATTCTGATTGGTTAAAATAATACTCACATGAAAATAAACATTTTAACCAATGAGATATTCGCTAATCTATTACAAAAATATTCATTGATAGTTATACATTTCAGTGGGAGTATATTGTGCCCCAACGTTATATTTATATATATAAGAGCAAAGAAACTCTTTCCACCTTAGAAAATTTCAATAGTTACTAAGTAATTGAAACTAGAAACAGTGAAACTCAGCATTCGTAGAGGTATTCACGAAAACCACAGTAGCAACAACAAGAGTCTTAAGGCAAAAGTCGAAATAATGAACACATATCTACTTCTGTTTGTTGCATTTGCTTTTCTTGGTAAGTTCAGTTGTATACAAAATATTATTGATGTACTTTTTTCACACTTGAGTTTTATTTTTATATTGTGTGTATTTATATCCACTCTTGATAAGTGGAACATTGGTGATTTATTTATCCATGTCAGAGAGTATCCATAGTAATGATATATGTAGGTTCGCAAAACAAACTATAATACATGCCATATCATATAGGACTTTGAAGACTGTAAGAAGAGTTAGTGTTATGTGCGTCGGTGGCACAGTGGTTAGGACTCTCGCCGACTATGCACATGGTCCGAGGTTCGAGCCCACACCGGCGCATACCTGATATCTATGGTCGGCCTGCAAAATTTGGGCTACCGATATCCATGCTGAAAATTCCATACTTGTACCAAAAATACACTGTGGAATCAAGCTGTAAATCAAAAAAATAAAATAAAAAAATAAAATAAAAAATATGTGATAATAGGCATTTTAATACTTCTGTTATAAGGTGGGAGGGTGTGACCTACATTTCGTGCTTATTAGGATTCACCAGTCAGCCTGTCAGTCACTCAGCAAGGCGTATCTGTAATCATGAAGGAACTCATTTCTCCTCTGAGATTAGAACTGGTGTCACTGCTCAGTGCTACAGTCACACAACTGTTACCACTGAGTTATTTCAGTTGGCGATTATTGACCTCTTGTAGGATTTGTAAGCAATTGCCTAAAGTGTCATCTTCATTATGGATGTACAGTCATATTTAATGATAACGTTTTGAGCAAAAATTATTGCTCATAATCATATCAGGGCAATACTCACACAACTTTTTTGCTTCATTTATATACATGACGTAAAAGATGATTAGACATTTGAATAAAACCAATATAAAATAAAGTACATTTAGAAATAATATTAGTGTTATCAACAAAATACAGTAAGATGGGAAATAAGAAGTTTTTTTACAGTAGAAATAAGTAACTTGTTAGAATGTTATAATGTGAATTGAATGCACTTTAACATTATTTATTATCCTCTTCTGATTTGACTGGTGGTAATAATATCTTTCATATCTCTGATATTTGCATTGAATCATTTCTCTTGCATGTGTTGGGTGTAGACTCGATGAACCAGGCAGGATTCAGTAGTCACTCTCTCTCTCTCTCTCCAGCTACCTATATTACTTTTTAGAATTTTGATTCTGTCCCACCTGCCGTAGTTTCTGATTGTATGTTAATGCATGAAGTGCTATAGCTGAGATTTTTCTTTTCGGGGTCAATCATTCTAACCTTAGCTAAATTCTATTGTTCTGATAGGCAATCTCACTAACCCCGATCTACTAGTTTGGCTTATGTAGTTCCTTTAACTCACAATCATTGCAGGGTATTTTGTAAATTATATTACTGTGTTTAATTAGGTCTGATACTGATACATCCTTTTTCATGATTCACAACTTTCTTCTTGTATGTCTTCGGGGAATGTCAGAAGACATTTAGCAATAATTTATGCTCGTTAGGCTTGTGTACATAAAAAGATTCAATTGTCCCACATAAACAACAGATTACTACTGGTGTTATTTTTACACATGTATTATATCCTTATACTAACTTTCAGCTTTTTTTTAAGTTTTATTATCTTTCACTATTTTGATGATATTTTAACGTGTTTGATTTAAGCATAGAAGATAGTTTGAATACTCTTCAACAAGATTAGTACTCAGCTGTGATTTTCGATTTGCACATATCCTAACAAAACTAACAGTATGCCAGATAAAATGGTAATTCAGTGAGGAACATCGTCTTTTTGACGATTTCATTTTCACAGCTGTACAATCTTTAAATGTATATATGAATTACAATAGACAATAACAGTCAGTTTTCTTGTGTGTGTGTGTGTGTGTTAAAGTTTGACAGTGAGTGGAGATGTTGCCTCGGTTGTCTAATTCGATATGTATTTAATATGTTCACCTGCTCTTGCAGGGCTAGGTATATAGGACGTTCGTCGAGAAACATAACCCGTTGCGTTCAAGAGCAAAAGAGAATGTAGGGATATTAATTTAACCATGTTACAACATATTGCAAATATTAACCACGCAGCATCTGACACATCATTCATTATAGTCTACAAAGTCTGCTGAAAGGGACGCAAGTGTATTTGCTTAGTATAGCACAGGCTTTGGCAGTGCAAAATATTAAGCCAGAACTTTGTGTACACAAATAATTTGTACTATCTCTTTCGTTACCATGATCTTGATTTTACAATGTAATTCACAGAACATCTTTGTTATCATATTTTATTCCATTTTCCATAATAATGAAATAATAATATTGTCTTTAGTTTAGATAGACGTGACGAATTTCTTCGGTGTGTCCGCCCGAAATCACACATCTGCCTTCGACTCTCCACCTAGGCCTCTTTTGTTAAACAAGATTGCTATGACACAACCACTGTGCTGGACTACCAAGCGATTGCAGGAAGCTGTACACTGTATAGTGTATTATCGGAAGTCCTCCACTGCTTCACTTACTCTGACTGGTGTTCCTAACTCAGGGAACTACTCTTTCTACTTTTCTGTTTCCCTTCATCTTACATGGCCTGTTTCATTCTGATCAGGTGAATTTCGTTAAGTATGGTGATGGTCTGGCTTTCTGTGACGACGGTTACTTCTCAGTTGGACTATTCCAAAATGAGTAAGTATTTATCAGAAACTTGGTCAGTGGTCATCACCGAATAGTCTTAGGCTTAATCCGTCCGATTGTTAGGTGGTTAATTTCACTTTCAGATGGAAGTGAGACTTTCGTGAACTGTTTAGTTCCGATGGTTCTACTATCATAGATGGCGATGAAGTTGAAACCAAGTTGAGTGTTGTTAAATACCTTGGACCGTGTATTTATTTCCTCAGATCCTGATGTTTGGTCTTCCCACATGACGTTGGTTTCGAGAAAGATATTTCATTTGAATTTGTATGTTTGGAAGTTAGGAAGATCTGATATCATTCCGTCTCTACTGTTCCCGTTTGTTAATTCTTGTCTTGTACCCATACTTCTTTAGTGTGCCCCCTATCCCAAATGAATTTTTCCCCTGGTTACTGAGGATAGACTTTTTTGATACAGCGTGGGGCACTCAAATCTGTCATTATGTGGTGAGTTAGTGTGGTGCTGCTAAACCAACTCGTTAAATACTGTTGTGGACAGACACTTGGATTCCTTGAAGAGATTAGCAAATATTATCTTGTCAGACTCTGAACGTCCTCTCCATACAACAACTCTCTGCTTTGTCTGGGTCACATTTTATGTGATAAGAAAAATGTGTGAGACAGGAAACTGCCAACTTTCTGAGAATATCTAAGTAAACGGTATTTTCTTTTTGTTCTCATTATTACATTGTCGTTAATATTTTCACCTGACTTATTTTGATGTTCATTTCTTATTGTACGGAGTTGTTAATGTGAGTAGTTATTAGTGTAAATGGCCTATTTTAATTATTACCCCCATTTAATGAGAAAATTAGATGGAATATTGTATTCGATGCTGAAAATTCCATATTTGTACAAAACATACTGTTTGAAATAAAGGTGTCATTACTATTATTAAGTTTATGATTCAGGGCTAAACCCGTTTATCAAGCGAACTTCAACTTCAACCCAAACTAACTGTACTTTTCTGAATGGTTTCTACAAGCTGAAACTGCTGAATTATTTAATGGCAGTTTCATTTCAACTTAGCCTCAATCTGTATAGGAATACGTTGGATGATAAATGATGTAGAGCACATTTTCTGATGTCCTACTATCATTATACAAAGAAAAAATAATTTAACTAATTAAAGGTGAAGATTACAGGTACATCTTTCTCGTGAGTACCGTTATGCATAATACTTTATTCAACAGATTCCTGTTGGTTGCTTCCAGCCATCCAAGATTGATATATTTATTCCATTTTAAATTACTGATATTTGAGATTAGTAGTTGTATACTATTCTCATGAACCAGTAGTGTTTGCTATCCAGCCAGACTGAAGCGGTTTGAACATCGAAAGACTGTCTCACTCGTTTGATGCCAAGCTGGTTAGTGGTATGTACAGTCTGATTTTACTAATATTCCATATTATTAAATAATTATGATTTATAAGGTTTCTTCTATTACAAAACGTGTTTAAAATCTCCTTGAATATTGCCGATGAAAACATGATAAACCTGATAAATTAATCAGTAATTTTGTAGAAAGTTGTAAAAATAAAATAATTAATATTAGTGATAGTGATGACAATAATAAAATTGATGACAGCATGCATGTCAGACATGCACAGGATAATGACTACACCAACAGTAGGGAATATAAATCATCAGAAGTACTTCCATAGAAAGAAGAAACCTCGGAAACCTTATGTCGAATTCTCAACAATGTAGGAGTAAAAGTGGCTGGCATCTGAACCTACAAACTTATTCAGAAACAAGCTCTGCCACTTATAGGATTCTTTGCAGCCAATTAAACGATGCAGTTTAGTTTGTCTAACACCCTGAAATGATTGTCAGGTCGAATATATAGGTGAAAGTAGTAGAACGGGGTCAGCCAGACTAGCGAAGCACAGAAACCTAGCAAAATGTAGATTATTTGATCCTAATATGATGTGAAATCTGAAGAGTAGTTCAGCAACAGCACTATTTGTTACTCAGTGACACAGTGGTTAGGACTCTCGGCGACCATGCACATGGTCCGGGGTTCGAGCCCTCACCGACGCACACCTGATATCTATGGTCGGCTTGCGAATTTTGAGCTACCGATATCCACGCTGAAAATTCCATACTTGTACCAAAAACACGGTGTGGAATCAAGCTGTAATCAAAAAAATAAAAATAAAAAAAATAAATAGAATTACACACAACCATACAATATCATGGGATAAGATGACAGTTCTAAAATCGAATTAAACACGGTGGAGGGAGGGATCGAGAACAGAAGCTTTGTTTATAGAATCAACTGAGAGGGAACACGTGTAGTATGAATGATTCAACACCTGTCCCAGACATCTGGAAATTTCT